CTAACTTACCAATTGGAGCATCTGCCCCCTGGGAGTCAGTGCACATCATAGCAAGCAATTGAGCAACCTTAGCATATTATTAGTATACTAGAGGCCCATTGCAAGAATAGGGCTTTCTGTGGCCAGAGAAAAGTGGAGAAGTGAGCAAAGCCCACCAAGATCTCTGCTGCCTCGCTCCCTCCCGTGTCTACTGCCTCACTCCCTTCTCCATCACTTCCATCCCTTCTGTAGCATTTGCTTAGCTCCCTTCTACAGTATTTGGCTTCCTTCTATGCTGTCTTCAGTCTTTGCTCTGCACCTGGGTATGCAAATTAAACTCCATCTTAGTTGGGTTACTTTGCATAGTTGCTCCTAATGGCTGGTGGGCATAGCGGAGGCATGGTCAATTTGCATGTTTCTCTTTTATTAATGTAGATTATGCTTTGATTGGTTGAACAAACAACTGGATGACCAGACACTTAGCATATTAGGCCTTTATTATATAGGATATTAAAGAGTCAAGAAATTTGTCAGCCTAGATAAAAGAAGCCATATCTAAGTCCTAAATTATCAATTATTTGGCAAGGGGTAAGGGGGTGGTTTTTCCTATTGCCTTGATTCTGTATTGCTCCACAAAGCATAACTAGAAGTAGGAATGAGAATAGCTAGGATGCAGATTAGAGCTCATTTTGAGGGAGGAAAAATGTCTCTAACAATTAGAGTTGTTCAAAACCAGGTTCACTGTCTCACAGAACTGAGATGACTATTAGTGATCACAGATATTGTTAGTCAATTATATGTATTGACCATTGTAGGAGAGACAGAGTTTATCTACCTTAGTAAGATATTAGACTATAAGGCACTGATATTTCTCCACTATTATTTTTTTATTCCAAGTAGAAATTTAACATAATCATAAATATTATTAGAAATATTCTAAAGCACTGTTTCCCAAAGTATGGCCTGAGAAAGTTTCAGGATTACTATGTTGTAGAAGAATTATAGGGTCAAGAAATTTGGAAAACTATGGGTTAAGCAAAGTTAAACAAGTTTCCTTCCTTCAATATCCCTTACTGACTTTGATATGTTAATATATATTGAAAACATTCAAAGGGAATTCTGTGTGCAGCATGGACAAAAAATATATTTTTTTATGTCGCATATTTATAAGACAATTTCTGTAGGATACTTTGGGGGAAAGGTTGAGGTAAGTAATTCTAACGTTGATGATCTCAAAAATCAGTTTGTCTTCATCCTATGTGAAACCTCAAGAGGATTGAGTTAGTAACACAATTCACATATAAATTTTTCATAAGGATGAAATAATTAAAAACCCTATCACAATTTACCACAACAGGTCTTCCCTCTTTCACAATGAGGTGCATTGTTTTACTTAAAATACTTATAAGTGGCTTAAATGATTTAACACAAATCCATGCTCTGATGACGCACCAACAAATGTCTTCCTGGCATATCTAAATTCCATTACAACCTCTGATAGGCCCATGAACTTGTCTAAGCACTTCTGAAAACTATTTATACTTAGAGCTGTTCTAGCACTTAGAGTACTTCTAAGCACTTCTAAAAGCTATTTATACTTAAAGCTGTTCTAACCCTTGTAATATTAAGTCCCAGAGTTGTTGTTTTTTCCTATTGCCTTGAGCAAGTTTCTTAAATTCAACATGCCTTCGTTTTTTCATCTGTAAAACAATAATCATAGAGACTTCCAGTCAAAATAGCAGAGTAGGTAAACATTGTGCTCACCTCTTCCCACAACCACATCAAAATTACAACTAACTTATAGAACAACCACCACTGAGAACCACCTGAATACTAGCTGCACAGAAAAGTCTTGTAACCAAGGGTATAAAGAAGCTATGAGAGTGGCAGGGGGAGGGGAGGGAGCAGGGGGTGCAGATGAGTGAAGATGCAGAACAGGCAAGTCTCTCATCAACTGTATAGCAATTAAAAAATCAGGAGGTTGTCTTGGCTGCAAAAGCAATGGATCCAAGGCCAACACCTGCCTCGCTAGCCCAGGGCACCAGTCCCCATAACACCTGGCTAGAGAAATCAGCAGGAATAGCATCTGAGTGAGACAAAGGTTTACTGGAGACCCAGGGGTTCCTCTAGGGCAGTGTTTCTCAAACTTCTCTAAGAAAGAGCACTAAGTTAAGTATACAATTTTACCTATATGTTCCCAAAAATTCTAGGTTAGCACTTCTTAGTTTGGATTCAGGAATCTGTATTTTAACAACTCCACCAGGTGGTTCTCATCATGAGAGAAGTTTGGGAAACACTGCTCTAGGGCAATGGTTGGCAAACTCATTGGTCAACAGAGCCAAATATCAACTGCACAAAGACTGAAATTTCTTTTGAGAGCCGAAAACCAACTTCTGCACATGGGCCACGAAGTTTCAATCGCACTGTATATGCGCACCCACACATGGTATTTTGTGGAAGAGCCACACTCAAGGGGCCAAAGTGCCACATGTGGCTCACAAGCCGCAGTTTGCCAACCACTGGGTTAGGGGAATATGTGAAAAAGGTGAAGGGATTAGGAATTCCCAGTTATAAAAACAGTCATGGATGTAAAGCACAGCATAGGAAATATAGTCAACTAGAGGCCCATTGCACGAAGATATTTGTGTAAGAGGCCTTCCTTCCCTTGGCTTCCAGCACCAGTTTTCCTCCAGCATCTGAGACCCAGGCCTTTGCTCTGGCCAGAGTCTGCCATCTTTGCTGTAGACTCTGGAGTCTGCAGTCTTTGTTTTCACTGTGGCCAGAGTGCCACTCCTGTAGATTCCTTTGGCCCCCTCCTCACCCTTCCTCTCATAGCAGGCATCCTGCCCCACCCAGTCACTCCGTGCCTGGAGCATCTGGGCAGCTGCCATCTTTCTCCTTCTAATTTGCTTATTTCCTCCTGATTGGCTAGTGGGCATAGCGGAATGATGGTTAATTTGCATGTTTCTCTTTTATTAATGCAGATAATATTGTCATAACTATTTACAGTGTCAGATGGGTACTGGGTTTATCCAAGTGATCACCCATACATTATATAAATGTCTAATAACTGGAGTGTACACTTGAAACTAATATACTATTGTATGTGAACTATAAGTGTAAAATAAAATTTTTAAATAGAAATCATACTCATAGAGTTGTTAAGAGGATGGAATTAAAGGAAATAATCCAGCATAGTACTTGGTACATTATAAAAATTCAATAAATATAAACTATAATTTTTACTCCAAAAAACATGCTTTTCTTTGATTTCCATTACTTCCTACTTCATTTAAATGAAATGATGTGTGTGAATTGCCTCGCACTGTGCCTAGCAGTTAGTGGCATTCAAATACAGTGGTAATGAAGGTGAATGGGATCTTTGTAAATATAGTCATCTCCTAATTGATAATAAAGGTGGAAATTTTTACCTCAAAGAAGCCTTTCACTTTGCCCTATCTCAACAAATTTAGAATATAAAATATAAACAGGCCTAGCTGGTTTTCTCAGTGGTTAGAGCATCGGCCTGCAAACTGAAGGGTCTTGGGTTCAATTCCGGTCAAGGGCATGTAGTTCAGTTGCAGGCTCGATCCTGGCCCCGTCAGGGCACTTGCAGGAGGTAACCAATTGATGTGTCTCTCTCACATTGATGTTTCTCTCTTTCTGTCTCTCCCCCTCCCTTCCACTCTCTCTAAAAATCAGTGGGGAAAATATCCTCGGGTGAAGATTAATAACAACAATTAAATTAAATATAAACAAATATTGCATCTTGCATCACTGGAACTAGAAATTTCCTGGCACTTAATCATGCATACTTATTTCTTGGTTACAGCATTTATTAGTGTCTATATTCAAATATGGGGGTGGGGGGAGGTGGTACGACTGTCAGAAATGTTTAGGGACTTTTTTTTAAAGGTATTCAATAAACCAATAACCAAGGAACAAGAAACTCTGCTCAATTATCTCACCTACAAACAGCTCCTGGTGAAAAAACTACTCCCTTTCCTTAAAAGCTACTTAAACAACAAAACAAAGTACCAAATTACTTTTGTGAAGTAATAAAGCTATCAAAAGAAAGGCATATGAAAGTATAAAGGGGAGAGCCCTCTAGTTTGGGTTAAAACAAACATTAAGGAGTAAAATAACGATGCAAAGAAAGGTTTAGCTTAACCTTTAGAGGAAAGGAATTTGACAAAAAAGTCGATCAGACAAAGCTGTCATTTGTTTAATAGAGCAGTGGTACTTCATCACCAGGCGATTGTGGTTATGAACACAAGAGCAGGGGTCCTTCTCAAAGCAGAAGATCAAGCAAAGATTGCAAGAGGTTCTTTACATCCTTCGCATTTGGCTACTATTAATGAATTGACTTGGTAAAACTAAAAAAGGCTTTAATAAAATAATCTTTCTACTACACCTTCATGTATGGATTTCTCTATCAAAATAAAACAAGCAGGTATCTTGCTTCCTTTCCAGTCACTGAGTTAAAATATATCCTCTACACATATTAAATCCATTTGTACATTTTCATAACAGATTACTACAGGTATCACAGACTACCTGTCAACATGCACCATTTATCTTGAATCAAGAGGATCTGGCCAGGTAATATTCACTTACAAACTACGATAAACTTCAAGTATCTTCTTAAGTATTAAATTCTCTCTTTTTCAAATTATTTATATTTATATGTGAATTATCTATTTTACCTCTATACTTATGTTTTTATACATATGTATTTACAGAGGACATAATCATTTAAGTGGTCAAAAGCCTAGAATTTTCTCCTAGCCATTTCCTCATGTATAAGCCAGCTTCAGCTATTCAGTCTCCACTGGCTTTATTCTTTTGTCTTTGTTCTTTTGAAATATACATTTGTTTCACGGCCCAACTCAGCCAGCTTCTGGTGGGTGACATTAAGAAACGAGCGTGAGGCCAGAATGTGCTAAGATGAAGGCCAGGTTCAGGGAACGGAATCAGAAATGAGAGCAATGCCGAGGGAATCTAAGCCATCTTTTACTCACAGCTGACACGTGCTGCAGCAGGCACATGACATCGATCATGTCTGCCAGGATGAGGAGTCTGGTAACGGCAGCCAGCAAGGCACGGGCGGCTTGAACCACAGCCTCCCTCTTGGGGAGGTAGCAGGGGTCATCTGCAAATCTCTCGGCTGATACTTTCAGAGCTTCGCCTGGAAAACACAGCCACAAGTCAGTCACGCGTGAGGTTTCAGCTATGTCTGTTTCAGCATTTATCATCCCACCTGATTCCAAGTGCATTCCATAACTAAGCATAATATTAAAGTACTGTTCGTGGACACTAGACCGCTGTCTCATTAAATAAACAATGCAGTTTCAAATGGACATTTGTGTTTGATAAACACTCTGTCATTTAAGAAGCATGATACCATTTTCCTACAAGAAAATTGTGCTCAATTGACTAACATCTAGTAAAATTGCTGTCAACTTCTGCATTTGCTGAATCTCATTCCTGTGAAAGCTCTCATTACTAAGACTTCAATTGGATACTATCTTGTGTATGAGAATAAGGTAAATCTACATTGTGTTACTTTCCAATTCAATGGATGTTAGAGAGGAACTACCTTTTTAAGATAAGACAGCAACTCTGTAAAAGTTTAACACAGGCAGTTTTATACTACACTGTCAATCCTATCTAATAAAGAGGGAATATGCTAATTGACCATCACATCCTCACAAAGATGGCAGCACCCACAGCCAATAAGGAGGGAATATGCTAATCGACTCCTATGCCCTTAAAGATGGTGGCATCCACAGCCACACATTCTTGTATATCTATCCAGAAATTAAGTTCTTGTATATCTATCCAGAAATTTTTCTATATTTTGTGTGTGTGCATATGTGTGTATATATGTATATTTATATGTATATATTTATATTTGTTTTACGTGTGTATATTTTATTAATATATCAATATATTCATACACATTAATATATATGAATATATTTTAGAGAGATTTTATATCACAAGAAAACAGATATTTGTTATAAATGGACCATATAGAAGACATATACATAGATCCTTTTCAAAAATGGTATGGTACTATAAAACCTTTCAACAATTTCCTCGTTTTCCTTATCAAATTATTTTCTTTTCACATTAGAAGACAGATGGCCAGGAGGCCAAGCAGCACAGTAATTAACAGTGTGGCTCTGAAGCCATTCTGCTTCAGTGTCTGTCCCACCACCTTAGACAGGTCACTGAACCTCTGTAAATGGAGCTAATAATAAGAACATCTAAAATAGAATGAGCATAAGTAAAAGCAGTGCTTACAACTTAGTGAAGACTGATAAGCTGGTATTATCATTCTTATTAATACTTGACTAAGGTCACATTTTATTGATATACTTATTTTTCTGGGCCCTTACTGAACACTCAATCATTTCCAACATTTTTCTGCTTAAATTATGCTACAAAAAAACAACCATGAGCCCTAGCCGATATGGTTCAGTGACTAGAGTGTCAGCCTGAAGACCAAAGGGGTCCCAGGTTCAATTCTGATCAAGGGCACATACCTTGGTTGCAGGTTCCTCCCTGGTCAGAGCTCATGCAGGAGGCAACCAATTGATGTGTTTCTCTGATACTGATGTTTCTCTCTCCCAATCTCCCTAAAAATCAATGGAAAAATATCCTTGGGTAAAGATTAACAAAACAAACAAACAAACAAAAAAAGAACCACCATGACATATATCTTTGCATATATGATCAAATTTAGCCATAGAATAAATTCATAAAGTAGAATTGCTGAGTCAAGAGGCAAATGAGCCGTAACCGGTTTGGCTCAGTAAATATAGCGTTGGTCTATGAACTGAAAGGTCCCAGGTTCGATTTTGATCAAGGGCATGTACATTGGTTGCAGGCACATTCCCAGTAAGGGGTGTGCAGGAGGCAGCTGGTCGATGTTTCTCTCTCATCGACGTTTCTAGCTCTCTATCTCTCTTCTTTCCTCTCTGTAGAAAATCAATAAAAATATATTTTAAAAAAAAAAAGAAATTTGTGCACATTAAAAGGAAATTAATTAGAGGAAATACTTTTTTTTTAAACAAGAGGCAAATGAATTTTAAGTCTCCAAAATACAACCATCTCACCAATAGCATACAAAAGGGCCTATTTTATCTACATTACTCCATGAGTGTATTAGTTTTCATTTATTCATGAACGGTAGCATAAAGAAAATGGAATAAATTATTTTTATTACATATAACAAAGAATAGTGTTCCTTATAATGAAGAAAGCCTGTGAAGAGGGTCTAGATGACCTCAGCATGTTAATCACATTCCACTCTCCTAAGCATGTAAGGAACTCAGACTCCTAAACCAGATACTTCTGAGATGACATTCTAATCCACCTCTTCTAGTTTTGAGGTTTGGATATTAATTACTTGTAGTGTCCCTACCTATAGAAAAAGGATAAAATGTTACTTGTATGTATTTCATAATATATATTTAGCACAACAGGTGAACTTGGAAAGCACTCAAGTATTAGCTGTTATCGTCTCAGAAATTTTCTAGTAGAGATGACAAAATTTCAAGACCAGTAAATGGTGATTTTTATGTCTTTTTCTGAAAGCCAGAATTGCAGCGAGGAGACTGAAAAATTAAAGTGACCTCCACAATTTAGAGAGCAGATGATTCCCCACAGAAAAATTATCTTTTCTTGTCATGATTCTGAATTGGGAAGTTATGACAGCCTGTATAGAATCCTGTCTCTGACTTCATATATTAAAACTAAATATATATATATATATCAGAAAAGAATTGTGTTCTTGACTAACGAGTTGCGACATTGAACAAGTGGCACAAGAGTCATACTCAGAGAAAGATTATGTAAACATTGAACAATAATTACAGTCTTTGTCTCCATAAAGTAATGTGAACAGCCAAATAAGTAACGCTATTGGGAGAAACTTCCACTCCTGAAATAAAGATTCAGACCTAAACTGCTTATTACTGGTCCCACTACCCTCCCCTCACCCAATTCTCCCAACCCTTTTTGACTGATTACAGCTCATAACTGGTCCCAATGTGCACATCACTTCTGGGAAGTCTTAGGTCACCATTGCTAAGACAGATCCTACAGTAGGATTATTTGCTTCCTATCATAACCCTCATTATCACTTATTGTAATGGTTTGTATCAAAGCAGACTAGAGGATTGCAAGAATCAAGTCAAAGATTTGAAATACAAAAAAAGCAAAAAACACCCAAATGGAAAAGAAAAGAAAATAATTTTTAAAAATATGAAGATATGTAATGTAAGAAGCCTCTAAGACAACTTCAAGTGTACTAACATCAGAATTATGGGGGTGCCAGAAAAAGAGAGAGAGCAAGATTTTTAAAATCTATTTGAAGAAATAATGACCAAAATCTTCCCCTACAGGGTGAAAGAAATAGACTTACAAGTCCAGGAAGTGCACAGAACCCCAAACAAGAGGAATCCAAAGAGGACCACACCAAGACACATCATAATTAAAATGCCAAGAGCAAAAGACAAAGAGAGAATATTAAAAGCAGCAAGAGAAAACAGTTAGTTACCTACAAGGAGCACCCCACAAATTATCAGCTGATTTCTCAACAGAAACTATGCAAGCCAGAAGGGAGTGGCAAGAAATATTTAATATACAGTCACAATTTAAGAAAAAGAAAAAAAAAGAAAGTACTCCATGAAAAAAAAAAACAACAATGAAATTAATACAACTAATAAGTGTCTCCAATTTAATATACATAACTGTGGCTCTAAAAACCAATTCTTTTTTCATTAAATCTTTCATTGGTTTTCATACCTTAACCTAAATGTATGAACCTCGCCTGAAAAATCCCCGACAACGTATAAAGATTGGTTTATGCCTTAAAAGTATAAAATTGGACCCAGCATTTTTTGGCTACAATATTTATATATGTAATAGTTTGAACATCTCAGGAATTTTGTACATTTCTAGGCTAGATGGTTCCCTGAAGAAAGTTCAGCCAGCTCCAAATAACGCTCCCAGTTGTAACACCGGAAGAATTGCGTGAGTTTTCCCCTCACACCCAAAGCCTAATTAATAGTGAAGATCCATATGCAGGGTCAACAGCCAGCTCACCTAACTTGTTCACTAACTTACTATGAAATCCTGAGCAAGTCATAGAATTTTTGGTATCTCTCTCTTCGGTATCAACACAAAGTTTATGGAAACAATTAAAAAACCAACAAGTGGAAGCTTTTAGCCTCCAGAGAAAAGTATTAAATAAAGGTGGAGTTCTTAAAAGGCAAACATGTCCTCACTACCATATTAATATTTTGTCTTTTTTTTTTAATATATTTTATTGATTTTTCACAGAGAAGAAGAGAGAGATAGAGAGTTAGAAACATCGATGAGAGAGAAACATCGATCAGCTGCCTCCTGCACACCCCCTACTGGGGATGTACCTGCAACCAAGGTACATGCCTTTGCCCGGAATCAAACCCGGGACCTTTCAGTCCGCAGGCCGATGCTCTATCCACTGAGCCAAACCGGTCCCGGCTAATATTTTGTCTTTTTGTGTGAAGATTCATCCTGTCAAAATCAAAACTATTCCCATGAAACTTCCAATTTCTTAACTGTGGAGCATCAGCAAATGTCCCTATCCCAGGCCCTCATGAACCCCTCGCTATCGGCTACACAGTGTTAGACGTTCAACTGTCCCCAGCCAGTGGACGATCGGCAGTGAATGGTTGAAACCAATATTTACCGAACTAAGTAAACTAAGTAAAGGCTGTAAGTGAAGGAAAAAGAAGGGGTCAAAATATTGGGGGGGGGGGGGGGGGTGGAGTAGCAATAAATACTTTTGGAATATAGGGGGTAAAAGGTAAAGTCAGTAAGGGGGAAAGTTGTTAATTCCTATCTGTGGGTTGTGAATATTTGGTGAGGAAGATAAAACAGCAAATCTCATTGAGAGCCTCTAGCATCAAAAAGCAAAAAAAGCCGAGACCGGTTTGGCTCAGTGGATGGAGCATCGGCCTGCGAACTGAAGGGTCCCCAGTTCGATTCTGGTCAGGAGCATGTACCTTGGTTGCGGGCACATCCCAAGTGGGGGGTGTGCAAGAAGCAGTTGATCAATGATTCTCTCTCAACGATGTTTCTAACTCTCTATCCCTCTCTCTCCCTTTCTGTAAAAAATCAATAAAATATATA